GGCCCCTGGCCACAGGCTCTTCGCTCTCCTCACCACTCAAAAAGGGGGTCCAGCTGGGCCATGAGGCTGTTGAGGTGCTGTTCCGCCTGGGCCAGCTGTTGTGTCAACTGGGCCAGCTGTTGCTCTGAGTGAGGAAAGAAGGGGGACAGCGGTTACTTGTCTCCTGCTGTGCCCCAATCCCCCCCACACACGGACTAACCCCGAACCCACCTGACTGTAATGGTCCCGTGTCTGCCTCCTGGGGAGCTGCGGCCTCATCCTTCCCCTGCAATGGGACAGCAAAGGGCAGAACTGCAGCAAAGTCCCGGCGCACCGCCTCGGCCTCCACAGCCGGTGAGACGTCCGAGCAGGCTATTGGGCCTTCAGGCTACAGGGTCGATCACACGCAGGCCAGCCGCCCACCCAGAACACAAGCAAGGTGCCAGTGAGGCCGACATGTGGTCATTCACGTTCACTGCCCAACAGTGTCGGATTACCCAGCACGCACAGTAAGGACAGGCGGACTCGTGTTTACTCATCTGCAGGGAATAATTCCACACTTTCCCACCAGGTTGGAGTCTGCTTCTAGGTGTGGTGGTATGTCTGTCCCAACCCCCAGCCCCTTCCTACAGAATCAAAGCCTCTTCAAATTTACAATCCCGACGGGACAGGGGACCCAGTGAGCAAGGCAAGCAGATGGGGATAGAGCCATGTGAGGTCGTTCACCACAGCCGAGCTCAGTAAGCCCAAGTCAGCCTGTGTTTACCCTGCTTGTTGGGTAACCCGCCCCTGTCCAGGAGGGAGCAAACAGCTCTGGCCGCTGTTCTTACAGAAAATCACAGCGTATCTTCAGGCCACGGTGCCGATCAGGCCCCCAAAGCCACACAACGTGCCAGCCCTCGGGAGTGCACAGATGGCAGTCGCATGCCCCTTCCCCAGCATTCTCCGCATGCCTCCGGGTTTAGCAGCCCCAGCCTTTCCAGCCAGTGCCCACTGGACACGGTTTGTCAGGCTGCTTGAGTGGGAGTGAGTGTGTGCCCTGAACAAGTGAATTCCCCAGGAGTGCTCAGATCGGCAGGCGAGACACACACTACCTTGTTCCAGCTCAATGTCTAAGCAACTTTCAGAGACCCCACTGCTAAACCCCGCTTCGTCCAGTCTGTCATGGGGTCCAAGGACAGCACTAAATCCATCCCTGCTACATTCCGTCATCAGGTTCAGCCCCTCATTGCAAGCCAGTCAAATCGACTCGGTACCATGAGGTCAATAAGCTATTCCTTCTAGCTGCCCAGTTCCAAGCCACCCAAACCGCCAGCGCATAGGTCTGGGTCTTTCCCCAAGAGAACAGGAGGCCGCCTGGCACCCGAACACCAGACACTCTGCCTACAGCCATCAAACGCTCGGCCACGGCTGGGGCCTCCCCAGGAGCCGCACCCCGGGAGCCTGGCCACTAGCCGGGTTCCAGGCCAGCTCGGCCAGGGACTTGAACTCTCTTCCCTGAGCTGCCGCGAGGAGTCAGTGCGATGCCATTATTTACAAAGCAATGAAAAAAGCCAGAGGATCAAGTCTTCGCCAAGAGACAGAGCGGAAGGTGTCCCGTAGCTGCTCACACTGCGCCCCCACGACACCCCCACCGCGGCCGTCCGGCACCTGCAGACACTTGTACAGCACAAAAGCCACGACCGCCGCCGTGTACAGCGCCCCCAAAGGCAGAGCCCCGGCTCGGGCGCGCTCGCGCTGCTCCTTGGGCGGCGGCCGCCGCCGGGCTTCCGAGGCCTGGGTGGGGTCCCCTGCGGAGCGAGGGCAGAGGCGGGTCAGCAGGGCTGGGGCCTGGCACCCGCGCGCAGTCCCGGCTGCCCTGCACAGCCCTCGCTGGTACCTGGGCGTGCCCGGAGGTCGGGGCTGGGCCGGTCTCGGAGGAGCCCGGGCAGCAGAGACACCAGCAGCAGCCCCAGCACGGCCCAGAGCGACACCGGGCCGGGCATTGCCGGTCCCACAGACGCAAGCACCCGGCGGTGCCGAGACGCCGGCGCGGGCGGACTGCCCCAGTGCGCACGCGCACACGGGCTCGCCACGGGAGCGCCAAGGAAAGGCCCCGCCCACCTACTGTGGGGGCGGGGCCCACTGTATTTGCATGTGGCAGTGTGGGCCCAGTTTTCCTAAATTACTCCATTTCTTACCTGTTTAGGCATTCTTTTAGCCCTGATGTGCCCAGAAAGCCTCGTGTCTTAGGAAACTATGCCTAAAAGTGTGTGTTTTTAAAATTCTTACACTACTCTTTCCCTCACCCTAACTGTAAGAGAAACATGTTGGTAGACCTATAAAAGGAGCGCGTCCAGACGCAAACACGTAGCTCGTGCTGAAGGCCTGCTTCCTAGGCTACGGACGGAGGACTCGTTCCTTTCTTTAATGCCTAGGGGAAAGTCCCCGGACCTCGGGCAGAGAGTGCGGCGTGCGCTCGCACGCAGACTTACCCGCTTTTCACTCAAAGTCCGCCAAGAAGCTTCCCCACCGCTGGGGCGGGCAGCCGAGCGGCGTGATGGCGGGGCGTCGGCCGTCAGCGCTACTAGTTACGCAGGCAGTGCGCTGCTGGGCGCACCAACCTCACGGGGCTCATTCTCAGCGCGGCTCGTTTTTATGACTCGCAGGGCCACTTGAAAATTGCACTCGAAGGCCCTGAGTTGCAAGATCAAATTCTTTTGTTTTAGGTAATGGAAGGCATTCTGAATAAAGTGGAAAAAAGTAATGCGGACTTGGATTCAATTAAAAACCCACTGACGTAGACATATTACAACAGCCATAGGCTGACTGCTAACCAGAAGGCTGGAGGTTCAAACCGACCAGCCACTCCTTGGAAGGAAGATTGGGCAATGTACTTCCATAGTGATACTGCCTTGGAAACCCAAGGAGGGTTTGCTATGAGTCTGGTTGGTTTGGTTTGATTTGCCATAGACTGAAGAGGACATGGAAGGAGGGATATCATTGCTGATGTCAGATGGATCTTGGCTCAAAGCAAAGAATACCAGAAAGATGTTTACTTGTGTTTTATTG